AGCAGAACCCTGGAAGATGTGTCCTGATGGTGAAAGCTATGCTACGTTTGGCCATGGGAAATGAAGCTCTTTCCAGGGAAATTCTATTTTTGTTTTCGTGTCTGCTTGAATAGACAAGGATAAGAAATTAAATCTGGCCAGGGGGTTGATGCTGGAGCTTGTGGGGAAGAGGGGCATATGGAAGGGTCAGGGAAGGAGAGCAAATCCTGGCCAGGAGGTAGCCCCTAAGGCGATAAAAGAAGGTCTGGAAACTTGCAAAAGCAGATCAGTGTGGCATTAGCAGCAGAAGAGATGTGCCAGTGGCTGATGAAATACGATCTTAAGGGAAAGCTGAAATCTAGGGAAAGCTGAAATCTAGTTATTAGTGGAGGGAAAGAACCAGCCTGAGCTAGAGAAGTGATTTGAAGTGGGGGGACATAAACAGAAACTGTGATTAGATAATGCCAGTCACTTACCTGCTGCCCAAGGAGGATGTGAGGAAGAACTGGCTTACAAGCTAGGCTCCTGACGGACACACCAGGTTCATCATTGTTGCTATTACATCTAGCATGTAAAGAAAACCCCGTATGCACAGACCAGCCCATCTGTGCATTGGCAGATGGTATGGGAGCTGCCCGGGTAAAGAGCACAGTATGATTTAGGGCTAGATATGAATGAAATTATACTTAGGCTAGTTCAAATACAATTGCACTAATATGACCGTCTCAGATTTTTAACCGAATGAACAGTTTCTGAATTGATTTTATTGTTTAAAGTCATGCCGGTTAATGGCTTTTTACAATAAAATTGCCTTTGGCTGATTTAAACATCAATAGAAGATTTTAAAAATGATTTGATTATATTTTAAACCTCAAATCAAGATTTCTATGAAATTGGACATGTCCCATTTCCCCCTTTGTAAACTGGCTTATTTCTGAACATGCAATGAGCAAAACCAAACCAAATTACAAGCAGATCTGACAAATCTTAGCTCAAACCTCAGTCAAAGCCTTTGTTTTCTGTGAACCATTGGATAAGTTGCTTAATTCCTCTTTTCTCAATAGGAAAAAATGGGATAATAATATCTACTTTGAAAGCCTATAGTGAAGATATAAGATTAAAAGTGCATAATATTATGTTCAGCCTATAGCAGACATTCGGCAATAGTTTGCTACACAACTATGTTTATTTTGCATATAGTTCTTAGGTGTATATATTTGCAATGTTGGAAAGACCTGGAGTGGAGCACAGGACACTGCTTGTATCCAACAGAGAGAAAAGGCATAGAGAAAATAAAAGGCGTGATACATTTGGGAATTTTTAAAAAATCTTGATCAGTAAGAAAATTACAAACATATTACATCACGGAAAGTCTTAATTTGAACTTAATTTCCTAGTTCAGAGGTTGGCAAGCTTTTTCTACAGAAAAGCCAGATAGTAATATTTCCAGCTTTGTGAACCACACAGCCTCTGCCACAGATAATCAACTGTGCCATGATAGTGTGACAGCAGTCACAGACAACATGTAAGCAAATGAACATGGTTGTATTCCAATAAAACTTTATTTACAAAACCAGACATTAGGCCTGATTTGGTCCTTAGGCTGTAGTTTGCCAAAATTTGGTGTAAGTGACAGCATCCTATTTTATCATTCCTCCATTTAGAAATCCACAAATATTTTGCTTTATGAACTGGTTAGCTTCCAGTTAATCTTGAATTATATTCATTCATTAAGTCATTTAATAAATACTTGAGTGTCTACTATAATTAGGCACTGTTTGGGGTGCTGGAAAAATAGCTGTGAGCAAAACCACCCAACATTTCTGGCTGTAAGGAGCTCACGTGCCTTAAGTGATGACAGAGTTATATCTGTCACTCCACCTTTGTATAAATCCTGCTCTACACAAACCATATTTATCAATGTTTGCAGTACTGCACTTAGATTTTCTTCACCCAGTCTCCCTATAGCATTAAATAAAGAGATACTCTAGTATACTATATTTGAATATCAGCAAAATGTTTGACAGAGTACCCCTGATATTGATGTGGACTGGATGGAGAAATGTGGCTGGATGATAATGTGACTCAGTGTACTGGAACCTGGATGAAAGACAGTACTCAGTGACTGTTGATTGATGGATAACTGGCAACCTGGAGAGCAATCTCCAGTGACCTAGAGGGCCATGTCCTTGCCTCAGTGCTACCCAACCTTTCCATAGATGACTTAGATGAAAACACGGAAAGCATGCTAATCAAATTTGCAGATGGCATAAAGCAAGGAGGGAGACAGCTGACAGGGCTGAGATCTAAAATGATTTCGACAGGCTGGAACAATAGCCTGAATCTAACAAGATGAAACTTAATAGGGATAAATGGAGGGTCCTGCACTTGGGTTCAAAAGTCAAATTGTACATGAGATGGGGGAGAAGTGGCTAAACTGCAATACATGAGAAAAAGCCTTAGAGATTTCGTTGACAGCAGGCTCAGTGGGAGTCCACAGTGTGATGTGAATGTCAAAAATGCCAGTGCAAACCAACTATGTTGCTAAAAGGGCATTCCAGGGCAAGGGAGGTGGCTGTGCTATGGTGCTAGACAGAGATCAGATCATACACAAGTGTGGTTCTGAGTTTCAGATGTTTTGAGGGATTGACATAGACTTGGCCAATGGAAAAATCTCAGTGAATAATGAGAAAACTTAATAATGTGGGACTTGATTAAGAAAGTAAAGTTCATGCACTCTTCAAGCTGATTTAGGGTTTCCACATTCCTCCAGAGAGCATATTGTAGGGCAAATGGGCTAAATTAATTAATCAAAACTGCCTCTTCTCTGACATTTTCTCTAAGGACTAAAGGGTGAATGGATGTTTGTTAAGATGCATGCCCTCTGAAAATAAGGCTGTAGGGGAGTGAGGGGATCATGTGTTAAAATTCATTTGTTTCTATGGGTTTCCATACCAGTTTCATACCTCTGTAATCCATGAGCCATTTTTAAGGATCCGTATCAAATAACACAAGTGTGAATTAGGTGAGTAGAAAGGTAGCTTCTGGTCCACTGAGAAGTTAAGTACCAAGGGCCAGATGTGTGCTCCCCAAAGACCACATTCAAACTGGATTCTTAGAGAAACTTCAGGAAGTCATAGGCTCAAGGAATGGGGCATTTAATTACATTTTTCTGGTTAACTCTGAAAATATGTTTTCACTCAACCCTTGCTGCTGAAAAATCTCTCTGAAACACATTTGTTTACATTTTTGCCTTGATGAAATGAATGAATCAATCAATAAATGAATGTTGAATCTTTAACATGTTTTCTTATTTGTAGGATAAAACCCAAATATTGTCGGTTTGGTACAGTCTGACCTGGCCCTTGTATATCTCTTTGACATAATAATCTCTTCATTCCAGCAATGTTGACATTTTCTCAGTTCCTTCTGGCCTTTGATGTTAATGCTGTCCCTTTATTTTGGAACAATTTGTCTCCTCACTCTATCTAATACATCCTTCAGCATCTCGAACTCATTCTTTCTTGCCAGAAAGTTTAGAAGACACAATTTCTGGGAAAAACCTTCTGTTTTACAAAGTCTTTGTTAGGGCCCCATTCAGCACTGTCTGAGGACATCCTGTCCTTGTATTAACATAGTTCTTACTCTGCTTCCCAATAATTGACTGGCAATTGTTGTGTCTTCGTTTTAAGCCCCAAGAGGGCAGAAACCATGACTGACTGATTTGTTGCTGTATCTCTAGCCTGTAGCCTGGTGCCTAGCACAAAATGTGTAATCGATAAATTTGTTAAATTGAATTAATTCCTTGGAGGTATTAAGAAATGAAGGGACATTATTTTGGCCATCAATAGCATTATGCTAAATAAAAGTTGGCAATAATACTGTAATAGTGATAGGAACCATCGATTCCAATGTGCTTTTATGTTAGAATAAGGAAGTTGAGTTCCAGTGCAGGGGACTGACTTGTCCAAGGCCACACAGCCATTGAGTAGTTAAACCAACACTAGACTCCATTTATTTTCCCTAGAGTTGTATTTTTCTGCCTCACCATAACTGCCACTGCCAGACTGAGAAGTCACATATTTGCTCTGGCAAAATCAAACACAAGAGGGATGTATTATCTCTGAATCCCAAGAATGCTGGAGAGCCAGGTTTGGAAAAAGAGCAGGCACTGAGAATGGTGAGGCATTTGGAAGGATGGACTGAGGTGTATCCCAGTTTGAAACAAGCCATGCCTTGGGATGGTCTGGCTAGGAGGCTGACCTGGCAAGTCAGTGCTGCTGTTATTGGATCTTGGATTCTTCCCAGTAGGCTCACAGTCCTGGCACCACTCTTGCTTTCCTACTGGATTTCTCACATGTCCCTGCATTTTTTTCCCTTACCCCTTTAATATCCAAAATCCGAGGCAGGAGCATCTCATTGGCTGAACTAAGGTAGTGGGTCTGAACCTAAGGTACTGAGAGCAGGCCCAGGGAAAGTATCTGGCCCCATCCTGGTTGCTGCTATGTGAGGCAGATGTGACCAGGACTGACACAGTCTAGGAAGAGTGCCCAGGTGCCTGTAGCAATAAAACAAACTAAACCCTGCCCAGTCACCTCCCACTGCACTGTTTTTGTCTTCAGTGCCTCCATTTCACCATGTCACTTGTGGCTCACTCTAAGCAGCTTTCCTTTTGTCAGCGGAAGTAAAGATAACAATAGGAGGCACTGCATTTATCTTTTTAGAAAATTTGGTAGCTGGTTTTTTCTTGGCTTGTGTCTTCATTTTCTCATCTGTGAAATGAATGTGGGGTTTGCATGGCCTCTCAGTGGGTCAGCCTTCCTTGACCACTCCATTCACAGGCCCACTCGCCATGAGATATGAGTAACTTTCTGGGGGAAAAAGTAATATTTGTCAACTTCTCTGCCTCGGAAAAGAACCTTTGGTAGCTACTGAGTTTGATTTACTCGTTAAAACTCCTGTAGAATCTCTGTCATCATTCTAAGTTCCACCTGCCTTTTCCGGAACATCGAATGAGAGAGAAGATGTCTAGGAGACAAGGTGGATGCACAGGTCCCAGAGCATAGTGAGAATCCTCTGATTCTGGATAATACTCTGAAGGTAATTATCAACTTTAGTCCTAAAAATACTTTAATGATCTCTGAAATGGACTGGTTGTGCAAGTGAAATAGAAACTGGTCTTAGAAAAGGCTTGAACTCAAGACTTGCCCTTTCCAACCTAGAGCAGAGAGAAGTTTTGGCAAGGCTGCCACCTTTACCCAATGTCCAATTCACTGGGAAATCAACAGCCCTTTGAATTCACTTCACACACATTAACAGTACAGTTTTACGATGACTTCCAAAACTTCATGGAAAGTGCAATCCCAGAGTGACAGAGAGAAATTCTTACTTTTCCTGAAACATGCTGCTCTTCAGTAGTCTTGTTGGAACATTAGTATTCATTGCCAAGCATAGCGTCTTCCTGACCCATTAAATGATTTAAAACCAACTAGCAAACCAAATGGCAACCCAGGAAAATTCTCCTCTTCGAGACAATGTGGAGCCATTATTCATTTAATAGAATAAACATTATTCTCTATCCCACGGTTACTAGCTTTTGAGTCTTTAATGGACTTCACATTATACTTAGGGGATTAACAGAGAAGTTTGTAATTGATTCTCTTTGTTGGGGGAAATAAAGAAGACAAGTATTTACCTGGTCATGGGTTATGTTACTGATATAATGCAAAAAAGGCTCTCAATGTTTAGAGCAGGATACATTTTTATTTCCTTCTTTAAAGAGGAGAGTTGCGGTTAATACCTGAAAAACAAATCTGCCAAGTGTGTGTTCCTTTAAGAGGAGTGTAGTTTCCAGATCCCATTTCCTCACGTGTACTCACTCAGGCATATTCATTGTGCTTTATTGTGTACCTACTGCATGCCAGACCTCCTGTAGTCTCTAAGTAGACAGTGCATGTGATGTTGAACAGCATAAAGCTGATTCCAAGTTTCAGTAGGATGGCAAGGAAGAGCAGGCATTCAGCTAATAATCACACACATCAATATAAAATCAAAACTTGCAACAGATGCTAAAAAGAAAAGGAATGAGTGTTTATAGAAAAGAAAAACTGAAGATTGGGGGAGAGGTGAGAAAAGAGGGTAATGGGATTAACTTCTTTGAGCAAAAAAGAGCATTTCAGTTGAGTCCCTGGTTTCTGTTGCCGAGTGTGTCCATCAGGCTCCTGACATATGCTTCTGATTCCTCAGCACTGGTCTTTAGTAGCATATCATGATTACTCAGTACACAGGTGTGTCAGTCAGAGGTGCCAGGAAAACTGAGCCACCACCAGCACTAGGGATTTGATACAGCAATTAAAGCTTAGACAAAAGTAGCGGGGCTAGGAAGGGAGGGAAGAGAAGGTGAGGGTCAGAGGGCCAATTTGTAACTAATACTGTCTAAAGTATTGGTGCAGGTGGGCAAGGCAAAGATTGCAAGAATACATCAAATGCCATGCACTTCTGCCTGTGGATGTAGAACCACAAAAGGAAAGCATGTGAAGTCTGTAGTAAGGAGTAGCTCTGTGGAAACTGCTGACTCTGTGACCATGCCTGCGTCTATGGGAATGCTTCCTCTGAGAGTTTGCAGCCAAGCATCTGGTGTTGGGCTTGTGGCTCCTATTGGTTAGCAAGGCCAGGGGTTGGATAGACAACCTGGAGTCAATGTAGGAGGGTAGTGGGGACTAGAGGGGCTGCTGGAAACCCCTGCACCTCTTCATCACTGTGTCTGATTCTCATGATCTTCCAAGAAGAGTAAGTGACATCACTTCCATTTCCTAAATCTAGCAAATCCATCCTGAGTTGATCAAAACTTTCCATTTTAGCAGTGAAATTCCTGTATGTCAGGCAACACTTCCATCCTGAGCAAACCAGGGCAATTGATCACTCTTTGTTGTTGTTGTTGTTGTTGTTTTTTTAGAGATGAAGTTTCGCTCTTGTTGCCTAGGCTGGAATGCAATGGTGGGATCTCGGCTTACTGCAACCTCCACCTCCTGGGTTCAAGCAATTCTCCTGCCTCAGCCTCCCAAGTAGCTGGTATTACAGGCACCTACCACCTCACTCAGCTAATTTTTTGTATTTTTAGTAGAGATGGGGTTTTACCATGTTGGCCAGGCTGGTCTCAAACTCCTGACCTCAGGTGATCCACCCACCTCAGCTTCCCAAAGTGCTGGAATTACAGGCATGAGCCATTGCGCTTGGCCCAGTTGATCACTCTTAAGGCTCATGTGAGTTAATCTCATTGGCCAGCTTTAATCCGAACCACTCAGGGAAACAAAATTCCCAGCCATAAGTAGGAACAGTAGTGCCAGGTTAGCCTGGATCATCTGGCATACCAGGTCTATCATATTTTGAAGATCTTTGATGGCCAATATCCAAAGTGGACTATCTTCTAATCAGTGGTGCTATCCCATTTGACATCCCCTTAAGGATTATGAAATAAGTTTAATTCATATTTTTAAATAATGATATATTAGTTGATGATAAAATAAACTGACAATTCCCAAAATTAAAATTAGATGTTTTTTGGGGCCATCTTGTACTTGGCTTGCTTTTGGTATCACTCTAGTTGCTTAGCTTGAGTAAATGGAAATGAAAGCATCCTGAGCACGTCCACTATCCTGGCACTGGCACAGAGAGCCTGTCCTATAGTTATGTCGTTATGAGTGCTCGGGATAGAATACAATCTCAAATCATTCTGACGGAGAGTTTGCCAGGTATGAAATAAGGAGAAGTTAGAGGGATGCATTGAGGGCCGCTATGATTTATTGCTAAGTCTTCTCCAACAGACCACTGTTGATTGCAGGGTATCTCAGCCCTAGGGTGTGCGCCAAGTGTGGTGGTAATGGGAACATTGATGACCAGAATGAAGGGTGTTGCTGATAAAGGAAAAAGGGAAGAGAGGTAGTCAGCAAGAAAAGGCAACTATAAGATTTGAAAAGACAGGAGAGAGGGGAAGCGTGCCGCATATGACTGCCAGGAAAATTTAATCATGCCTGAGAAGGGCTTGGATTTATTGAGAATGAAGCAGGCAAGCTTGGGGCCATTCGTTCGGGCTCAGCCCTTATAAATGATTTGGAGGACTTTGTAGCGTGGTAAGTAAGCATAATGGTTTTTGTATTGAACTGTGGCACCCTCAGCCAACTTGAAAGAACCAAGATTCTTTAGAATTCAATTTACTTTGCATTAACGGGAGATCCAGTGCTCATCTGTTCTAACTGCTTCTTTTATCTAAGCTGCTAAAGAGTCACATGGTTTAGGAAGAAAATTAAGAAATTTCACATTTGTTGCTCTAAGCAAAATCATTTTGTTATCTACTTTAATGAGCGCATGGATGAGTTTTCCTGTTTTAATAATCACTGTGTCTTAAACTTTTCTTCCATGAAGGCAATATCAACAAAAACTCTCTAGAGGCTTTATCTTTATACAATTAGTTTCTCTCTCTCTACCATCTAAAGTCCTTGAAATCATTTTTAAAACAGTAGGAGACATGTCCTTTCTCTGAAATCTCTGGACACATATAAGGAAAATGGACATTACACTATTGCCTTGAAGAGGAAATTGGCATGAACTGAGATCTCTGTCCTTATCTGAATTCACATTGTATTGGAACTATTTTTTATTTTCCTTTATTTTACTTTTCTTTCTGTAGATAAAAGACCTGTATGGATTTCTGTAGGTTCTGCAGTCACTGAGGAGTGAATGTATATATTCTTTGCATTCACATCTGTTGGGAATTCTTAAGAACCAGGAAAAAGCATTCCAAAATATTATGAATCTAATATTTTGGTGACTCTACTTACATTGTTGATAATAGACAGGTATTCATTTCTGTTGTAGTTCCACATTTTGTATCTAAATAACCTAGCAAGCCTCTTCAAATGGTGCTTTATCCAAGTCTTCTGGACTGGGTGTAGGCCATCCTGTTTCTGACTCAAATTTAACAGTACATCCAAACTTAATGTCTTTATGTATATATTGTGCTTATTGTCTATACTTCTGAAGTGTTTGAAAGAATTCACAATGAAAGAAAATTTGTAAATAAGACTATTGAAATAGGCAAAAACTATAAGAAGGAGAAATGATATGTCAAGCACAAATTAATGGTGAGCTATTTGGAATTATAACAAAAAGAACAAGAAGAGTGACTATTTTAATTGTCTGATGAAATGAGATACAATGTCTTTAGACAGAGAAACACTTCTGTTAGAAATAAGTATTAGAATGTAATTTTTTTTGTCAGGACCTGGTGTACACTGTATTCAAGGATGATTTTTACAGATTATGTTAACATAAGTTTATATGTTTTTTTTTTCCATTGGCTCTTGACAAGAAGAGGAGGGTGTAATATTAACAAATGTTCAGTAAAGAGGTTTCTGTACAAGGCTAGTCTCATAGGATCCAAGTAAGTTGCTTTCGGGTCATATATTAATAGAAGGCCACAGACATGCAAGCAATAAAATTTAGGCCACTACAGTTCCCTGAAAATTCAGTGTAGTTTTATACTTGGCATTTTTCAAAGGGAAGTTATCACTGGTATTTTATAATAAGTTGAAATTTTTATATAGTATTAAGTATTAAGATAAATATTTCTTGTAATCTTTACAGTGTTTTCTTCCTTTTTATGTTGAAGAATTATTGGGAATTCCTTGAGACTTTATTACTCAGCCCCTGGGACCACTTCTAATGCTCCAGTGGCTTCCCAGTTTCTCCTTCTTATTTCTCCTCTGTAGATTCTAAGGGGTCTGTCTGTTTTTTCAGCTCTCACCACCCACTTCATCCAGTGGGATTCTTTTCCTCTGAAGTCTGACTTCAGAATAATAAAGATATTCTCCCAATATTCTCATTTCCCTGCAGCTTCCTTAGCAACCAAGCATCTCAGAAAAACCAGAAATTAAACAAACACACAGTCTACACCTCGCATGGCTCCACCTACTCCCTGGAGTCAGACTTCAACATCACTCTTCCCAAAGACTCAGACTTTATGAAACAGTGTTAGTAAATTTAATCAAAATGTCACAATTTTAAAAATCAAAATATCATATTTTTTTACATCTAGCAACTCT